CAAATGGCAGGCGTTTTGATAGTTATCATTAGCCATTTAGCTGACTTCGGGCCTCACAGAGAGGAGGAATAGCAAAGTGACAAAAAGTAGAGAGGGGGGATAGAATAATGATTCACAGATGTGACAGAGACAGACAAAAGAGCAGAGAAAAGGTAAGATGAGTACTGTGGTAGGGGTCGAATATGACATATAGTGAGGTGATGGTATTTTGAAGTGAGAAGTCAACTGCCGGTTGATAGACTTTTTTGCCGTATGAGTATACGTTGCACAGGGTGCACCACGTGGAGGTAAGTCTATCGCACACCCCTCGATAAGCAACATAGACAGCAGTTAACACCGATATCATAAGTTCAATAAATGTTTCACTTGCAACACTTCTTCCTCCTCAATGTCATTGCTATAATTCAAGTCCGGGAGCCTTTCCAACTGAGAGGATCTGCCACAGAGTATAGACAAGGCTTATTACTGTAGCAATTTACAACACAGTCCAGAATTCGGATCAATGTGTTTCAGAAGTCCATTAGAGAGTTTATGCCGTTAAATTTATTGGAAGAAGGAGAAGAGTGATCACTGGTATGGTAAATCTATGACATAATGTCTAACACGAGCATTACTAAAGATAAAATGCGAAATTTCACTGAAAGTTAATAGTACGTTGACAAGTTTTCCAGAATCGTCTAACTTAATGAAATGCATTGTGTGCTGCTCCATATTGCCGACAATTTCTTTATTAATCAGCATGGCCCCTCTACTTGCCTACCCCTTCTGAATTTTATTTCCTAAATTCAATCTAAACTTCATTGATAAAATCCTTTTCCTGTCCCATCTGGTTATAATTTCACTAGCCGTGATTGTGAACTAAATCAGTCATTCGGAAAGTGAGGCATCATCGAAAGAGTAGGAGTCTCTGGTCTTTGAGAGGAATCAAGAACTGAAAAGTAGTTCAGCGCCTAACATTTTCTACAAATTCCATATACTTTAATGTTTACTAGAAACATTGAAGATCAAACTATTCGTTCTCCTCCAACGTTTTCACCCAAATAAATTCCAGCTACAGTCACTATCAGGGCTGATTAATTTTCAAGTTCTTTAAATGACGAAATTTAGGTGTGGATGTTATTTGTTACGGGTTTGTTAAGAAGATTAAAGAGAAGACCTACATTCTAGAGTCCGCAATAATTCAAATAAACAGTATTACTGGGGTATGAATTAAAAGTAAATGTCACTTAAGTTGTATTAAATGAAATTAGAAATAGCATAAATATTCAAGTAGTTCTGATGTACTATTTCAGGTAACCATGCTGCTAGAATAATGAAAAAATCGTCTGCCAAAAATATCAGCTCATTGTGTTTGCTAGTAATGCTAGTGGTCGGAGAAGCTATGGCAAGCTATAAATAGTGGAATGAAGATAAAATTCAGCAAGAGAACTTTTAAACAAATGGAGGAATTTTCTTCGGAATAAATTAGCACTTTTTAGAATGATTGACAATTATGTATGAATTTATGACCATATTTCATACGAATAAAGTGCATCTGGACCAGTCGTATATACGAAAAGTTCTGAACAAATAAACTTGTCCTTTAAATTTATTAATTAATTAAACTTTTATTAGGCAATAAAGAATTCGAAGCCAACCACGTTTTAAAAACATATTAAACTCAAGCACAAACTTTTTCATTCGTGGTAATACGATATTCCGTAGTTAGAAAATGACCCATTTGTAAAGGTGTTAAATAAAGTTAAAACCCTTCAAGCTAAACACGTTTAACCCTAAGGGTTAAATTTGACGCGAATTATATCATTACACATGATCTTACCTCATGGTAACTTTAAAAAGATTTAAACAACTAGAGTATTATTACAAATATGCCAATGAAATATGAATGTTATCAAAAAATGTAATCTTTTATTGTTGTTCTACATTTATCTTAAATGATTGGGCTTGTAATTACCTTGATATACTTGGCGGTTATTTTAAATTGTCCGCCTTGATTTTTTGAGTCCCTTTGTGGCTTTCGAGCTTAGGATTTTAATTTAACGAATTTCATGACTACTTCTCAGGAGGTGGGCCAAACTTTTACGTTATGTCTATTATTTTTGTACTCGGAATTATGTTTTGCATTTTTATGCATCGAAATGTAATCGCTTCAATCACATACTTTTATCGTAGACATACCTTTCAGATTCATTTCATTAAAGCCCATCCGGTCAAAATTTACCTTCCTTTAATATTGTTGAAATATAATTGTTTTTATGGTTTATCATATTTCTTTTCAGGCCTGTCTTGCCGAAACTGCTATGGAGAGCAGGCATGCTCAAAATGACAAAGCCGCCTCACATTTAATGTGCAACATCGCGATCGCGGACATTACCAAAATTAACGTAGACGATTTCGTGAAGCAAATTACCCTCATTGATATGTCTTATTTCGCTGCCATTAAACGCTCAGAGTTTCTCAGTCTAAAGTGGAATGGCAGAGACAAAAAAATATACGCTCCAAACATTGTGGAATCTACTAAGTGGTTTAACCAGATTAACTTCTGGGTCCAAAAGGAAATTCTCAAATACTCCGCAGTGAATAAGCGAACTGAAATGCTCTCATATTTCATCAAGCTTGCAAAAGTAAGTTGTTACTTTGTACAGGAAAATTAAGTTTACCCTTTTGTCATCTGCAGCTACGCTTTATTACTCGATAACCTTAGTTTCTCAGACTAGATCTCTCACTAATCAGATGATTTCATAAGTATTCTGCTTAATACTTCTTTTATTCCTTCCAGTTGATTTTAATTCTTGTATTTAGTCTATTTGGCTTCCAATTTTATTTACTTATATTTCCTAAAATGTTAAAAATGTCAAATGTCAAATTTAAATAAGCATAAATTACCCAACTATTGTGTTAATATGGCTCTAAATAATTTCCTTGGTATATTGCTAGGATAGCACTATTTTTGATATGTTGTTTCTCGATATTTATTACTGTGCAATATAAAAGGAGGTTCCATTTAATAGAATTTGTTAATTATCTGTTGACTTCAATCTTGCCATTAACTTCTCAATACGAGTGACTAATAACGATAGTTGTAATGTACCATAGCTTTCTGATCTAGTGCCCATAAATCGAAACTTGCTAATATATGAAGAATAGCTTGAATCCTTTATGTTCATGCAAATTTTTTCCCTTTATTTATATATTGTTTTATTCATTTTGGATTATTGTTTCATTCAGCTATTATAGCTAGGAGTTTAGCTCCCCTTTTAATCTCTTATCCTCATGTTAATCGAAAAATTTCAAAACACGTGTTGTCAAATCCTCAGCTATGTTATCTGTTCGCTAATATGTGTCATCGAAAAAAATGTTTGGTGGTACAATATTTTATTTTCTTAAGTGAGCTTGATCTTAACTTACAATAATTGATGTTGACCTACGGATTCATTATCAATTAATGCTTATATCCAATATACGGACTGGATAGGGAAATATGAAGTCCTCTGTTTGCAATTGGAGCCTCTTTTGATTTGAGTTTTGAAGGACTTTAAATTTTGGTGTCATTGTCTTGCGTGGTTACAACTTTGCATTACTTTGGATTTCCATCGTCGCTCATTTCCCAAATCAGTAATTATTAGTCATCCGTGCTCATCCGTGTGCTCTGATGGTAATCATATCCGTAACCCATGACTCCGCAGGCAAGTTCGTTAACTACCGGTACTTTTCGGAATTGTTGTTTTAGTCCGTTTTTATTGGAGCACCTAGGCACGAAATAGTTGTATTTTGAGCAATTCATTATCTTGTCCCCTCTATCTGCAGCGTTTGGTCGATGTCAACAATCTCTACTCCGCCATGTCAATAATCTCAGCCCTTCAAGTGGAATGCATTTATCGTCTACGTTTGACATGGTCCGGTCTCGGCCACCGTGAGCGGGCATCCTATCGACGTCTTGAGGAACTATTTGGTCAACAGGAGAACTGTCGACTCCTTCGAGAACACACCGCATCAATGCGTCTTCCTGGAATACCTTATCTCGGTGAGTAGACAATCATCTTTATTCTTCGAATGCTCATTTTGGAAAGAGGAAAAAAACATGTTTTGGTATCTTGTTTGAAAAACGTGTTCCAAATGTTCTGATAGCTTTGATGTTATGATCTCCCTAGATCTGATTTTTATTAATCCCTTATAAGCTCGTTGTTCACTACGAGTGGATTCCTCTGGGGTGCCGTTACTAATCAGAGGAAATATAAATTCTACCATCCGGGAGGTTGACTTCCTCGAATAATTGCTTTTAACTACGTCTCGCTATAAAGCCTAAGTACCCATTAACATCACATGGTTATTTTATCATGTGATCTGTGATAACTTAATTTACTTATATTCTTGAGGCTAATTTTTTGGGGTTTTAACCCCCTCGGTCAGACCTTTCATAATCAGTTGAAATTGAAGTTTGCCAAGTGTGCTCGTTTTTACGTTTCATAAACGAATTTGTAGCCTAAAACCCATTTGCTACAGTTTGATCAATCCATTCTGAAGTGAATTTTCTATTGAACTTGGACAAGAATTCATTTCATTTCGCTATTTGTAAATCCATCTTGGTGATTCTCCGTTTTCTTGCGGTTTATTTTCACTGTAAATATCTGCCTGGCAAACCGGGTTTTAACCCCCCCCCNCCCCCCCCCCCCCCCCCCAAGGTCAACGGTCTAATAAATATAAGTTGGGTAGCTAGTATTGGATGTTCTATCAATTTTCCTAACTTTGAACAATTTTCAGCAGTACTATAATGCAATAATCCTGAAAGACCCATATCCTTCTAAGCCGAGACCAGACAATAAAGGCAACGTGGGGGGGGGGGGGGGGGGGGGGTTGNGGGGGGGGGGGGAGGAGGGTGGTTGTGGATGGTAACACGTAACTTCTTGTTTCCTCTTGCTTGCCTCAAATCTCCCCACTTCTCCTCCTACCCCCCCTCCTAGACATAACTAATTGCTCTCTGTTAGGTTTAAAGCTCTATTTCGTTGATTATACGTCCCACAACATCATTGGTACTTGAACAGAAGTTGTAGCTCAATTGCACTTTTGTGCTATATGGTGAATACAATTTTGATCCGGCGTGTATTCCCACAAGCGACCTCAACTTATGTATCCCTGTATTATACTGCAGACATATGTTTGTCTGTCTTTGTACCTAATCCCATTTTAGTTATCGTCACCAGAGGGCTTGTCAATCAGAATTTCATACTAACATGCTTAAATTCAATCCATCACATCTGTGCACTTTTTCTGCACTCACCCCACCCCCCTCAGAACACGTGTCTTCGGTCAATCCACCAACGTGACCATCCGACCCTCTCCATGGAGGAGAGTCTCATATAACTTGGAATGGCCGTCGAAATGTTTTCTTTATTAAAAAATTAATTTAATTAAGGCTGCCATTTGTTGGATCATGCTATACTACTGAAATGGCTAAATAAGTAATTTCAGGTATAAGCCTATGCTTTTTGATTTCGATCATAAACTCTTTCAATAGAAAGTGTTTGAGTGTTTTAAACCACACGTTGGTGCTTGCGGTTTAGTTTAAATTCGTATTGCTGCTTAAGTGAAAATTTTACCATCTACTATTTTAGAGCTACAAATGAGATTTCTTTCCTTAAGTTGTATGTTTTCTTTCGTTGCAGAGACTTATAACCTATTGCAGATCTTGTTTTCAAGTAAAATGTAATCCTATGGTAAATAAATCTAGTTAAATCTAGTTCTATCCTATGCAATAATAATAATAATGTTCAGGTTTGCCAAAAGAGTGAGCTAGCTTTATTCGCTAATTTGGCACACGTCATCCCATTCACTTACAAAGACGTCATATTCAACTTTGCTTATAACACAACCCTTGGTGGGGGAGAATTTAACAGACAAATGAAGTTCAAGTTATAATCCAACTACTAACTTTCTGGCGTGCGAGTTCGCGTTGCTATGACGGCTGCCATTTGCTTTTTTTCGCATCAAAAAGTCATGGAATGAATTGTCCCCCCCCCCCACTCCCACACCCCAACAAAAAACTGCTCTTTGACCTTTCACAATCTCTGACTATATTTGGTCATTGGGTATGCTGTGGGGTTTACATTAGACCAGGCATGTTTATAGTGCAAAAGAGCGTATCAATTTGTGTTCATTTTCTTTAAATTTCCTTATGCCGGTAGTGCAGTGTCTACTTCACTAATTATCCAAGATTCGTAATTAATCGTATGTGATTCATTAAGCGATCGTGGAACTTATGCCTTGTGCACATAAATCGCACCCAGTGAACTGATTGTGTCCAGCCTCACTGGTTAGTGTTGAGACTTGCGAAATCTCAGCCTCTTTCCCCAGAGGCCCCATGGTGCCATTCCCTACCCGAGATAGGTATTGGAAAGCACTTTTCTCAATCGTTTTGAAGTATAATATCATAAATGTTAGTTAGAAATAGTTCTTGTTCGGATGTCTGGGTGATCCAAAGCTGACTGATCACTTTGGAAATTGAGTTTCTTCTAAATGCATGCATTCGTTCATCTTCATGCCAGCTCACTTTTTAATTTCCACTTAACTCTTACGCACTGTTAGGGTATTTTACTTTGGTAGACCTAACTTTGTGATGTAAAAATTGAAATTCTTAAAATCTGTTGTTCTAACACCTCTCCCCCCCCCCCCCCAACTATGTGCCATCTGTGTCTAATTTATACCAAATACGCGACAAACAATGTTTTACTTTCTGCATCTACCACTAGAAATAACTGCCTCATTCATTGATAGTGATGTCAAATCAGTCATCAATCAGACTACCATCATTAGCAGAAGGTAGGGGCCTTGACCTTGTTAGTTTATATAAGCTTTGTATCAATAGCCTAACTAACTCAAATTTATGTTCGTTTTCGACAATAGCGAGCACTTTAAAAATTCCAATGTGATTCGATTACTGCTACAGTTGGAGGTTTGTGTTATTTTTATCCAATTCAGTAGCTCTGAAAGCGTTTGACAAGGTTGACTCATCCTATCTGTTTGTCTGCTCTCTACCTCCCTCCTTGCATTCGCCATGCTCTGTAAATTAACGCAGAGAGTAGTTCTATTGCCTGGGTGTGGGAAAATGGGTGGAGGACTTGTGGTTTCCGAAGTTCTTAAGAGTAGTGATGGCAGATGGCGCTGAGACTGTTACTCAGACAACAAATAAGTGTTAAGGTATTGGCGGAAAAGGTTCCTTTGAGAACCCCCCCCCCTCCCCATACGATTGCAGAAACGAAGGGAGCTAACCTCTAGTTAACTCTACGCGAAAAAGGGATAATATCTGTAAATTTTGTCCAATTCCTAGCTTCAAAATTGGGGGGAGACAAAAGTTTATCATGGAGAGAAGTGAATTTAGGCAGCTCGAAGCAAATGTGAAGCAGGCGTTCGCTGAGAAAAAAAACATTTATTCCACGCGTAGCACAAAAAAACTCAATTACAATTGGTGTGGTGGTAGAAAATGGGGAGTGGGGCGGGGGATGGGGGGGGGTAACCTGTATTGTCTTTTTTAACTACCCAACCTGCATTTCAAGGTGATACGTGAACAGCGGTACTACCTTTCTCCAAAATTGACCTAAATGGTGGAAAAATATCTAACGCTATGTTCCATGTTGCGTATTACATTTTATTTTAATAGCCATGTGAGCGAAAAATGAATTTCTTTGACATGGGGTAGTTTTTGAATCCTCCTAATTGCAAAGTGCTCAAGTAAGGAAGATCATGGTGGGTTGAATGGAAATTGGGATGTTAAGGGTCGTACTTTATTCGAATCCTAGAATCAATGCCTTGTCCGCTTTCCTTTGAGGGGCTTTGATCTCCAGACTTTCTGGATGATTTCGTATCCACGAAACTTAGAGGTTGTTGAAAAATCGACTGGTCTTGCCACTTTCTTTTGTCCATCTTCTCACAGCTGTGTGTGAGGAAGTAGATAAGGGCCTATCCCAAGGCTCCCAAAAGTGGTGAGCCAAATGATTCTTACATTATTTATATATTTCAAATGGCAGGCGTTTTGATAGTTACCATTAGCCCTTTTGTTGACTTCGGACTTCACAGAGAGGAGGATGGGCATCAAAAAGAGAAAAATCGAGAGGGGGGGGGACAGAAGAGTGTTTCAATATTGTAAAAGAGACAGACACAAAAGTAGGAAAAAGTTAAGGTGAGTACTGTGGAAGTGGTGGAATATGGCATACAGTCGAGTAATGGTAGTTTAAAGTCAGAACTCAGCTGCCGATTTATAGACTTTTTTGCCGTATGAGCATACGTTGCCCAGAGTGCACCACGTGGAGGTAAGTCTATCGCACACCCTGATTTCTACATTATCGCAGTCAAATTCAAGCTCATTTTATAGAGCATACTTACATTAGCAATCTCAGCATTTAAGGGTGCTTAAAGGTGCATCGCAGGTAAATTAACCCAGGTGAAGAGAGTAGAGCTAATGCACCTGTGACCTTGCTTTTATTACTCCGTGTGCATGTCTAGACTTGGAAATATGAGCGTGCTTATCAAACTCCTTCCAACCCCTTTGCTATCGGCTTGTTCGTCTGCTGAAATTAAATCTGCTCTTTCTAGGCAACAAAAGTACTTGCTGGGCTACGCCGAGGAGTATCTTAATGTCATTCCCTTCCGCCTATCTTTCGTCAGTACTGACCCCACTGAAATGCCAAATTCGGGCATAAAATATCGCAATTTAGTTACCAATCTGATATCTTCCCCCCCCCCCCCCCCCCCCTCCCACAATTCACTTCCTGTAGTGTATCCAACTGCTGACCTCTACACACTGTAGCGGTTTCAAAGATAGTGTAGAGATCAAAGGTGATGGTGTGAGGTATTCGAAGTACCGTTTTCACGTTAGTGTGTTTGTGAAAGCCGATAACTGGTCCTAAGAAGCAAAGTCCACGATGGCGTGGATTGAGTTGCAAATGGAAAATCGTTCTGCGCATTGTTTTGAAATTCCGATGATTTAAAAATATGTTTATGCCAAATCACAATTGGCAGTTTGTTCCAACGCCTACTTT